TTTCTCAGCTTTGGAAGGAGCTAGAACAAAAAAATTTTTATCATTAAATAGGGAATTGTTTATACTATATACACCACTATTCAAAACAAAAAAATTCGCATCTACGATTTTTTCAGAAAACGCCGCCTAAATGCCTACTGTGTCAAGAGGCATATTAGAAGGCCGCTGACTACGTAGTGCAAACCAGAGTCTCACATCTTACCTATTAGTCTATATCACCGTCGAAGCTAGAAGGTTAAAGAAGCAAGAGTAGGTAGGCGGGAAGCCTTTAATGAAATAAATTAAGCTAAAATCTAAAAAGTTCTACCTTCTTTTAAATAAAAACGAATTTCAAGGCTCTGTTTTCACTTTTTATCGGTAATACATTGTGCTCTTTTTGAATTTAATATTTTTAGACACTGATTTTTGCTTATTAAAGGTTACTTCTGCTCAGGGAAAAATTGATTCGTAAGGCTGTGTACTCAAAAACTATCGTGCTTTCTTTTGAAATTGGATCGAGGTCATAAAAAATATTCAAAATACAATATATGACCGGTTTTTTAATGCTTCTGATTTGAAATTAAAGTTTCTTTCATGTTACTTCGTCAAACTATAATTACGGTTTTTCTCTTTAACTTAATATCTGATTGAGGAGACTCCGAAGTAACAGAACTCAATTTTACATCTGACTAAGACTTCAACTGCCCTTTATAGCCACTATTTTGTTGATAAACTACCAATACGTCAATTTACGATCGTTTACGATGTTTTGCTGATATATTTTTTAAAAAGTCTGATTTTTCGTATACGACTGTCGTACGTTCATCCTCTATATATCAACGTATCCCACAACCTGTGCCACCATCGTATTTCGTCATATCCCTGCAGTTTACGGTCATGACTACGACCATCTACTATGGTTAGCTAAAATATCAAAGATTATTCACTTGTCAAAAGAGAACTGATGATAACATAAATTAGATGAATTTTTCTGTTCTTCAGCAGCCCATCGGTTGGCAAAATACCTTGTATTTCAAATATGCGTCTAGAATTCATCATCTCTTACAAGTGTTTATTCAGTCAGGTTATAGTTAATCAATAGTTCCCTTTGCTCACATTATTTTTTACTATCTCCATTAATAAACTTCACACTGAGTAATTTCTCATTGAGACCAGTTCTATGAGGATGGTCAGTCATAAAGTAGCTAGCGCAGATCGCATTGCCTTCTTCATTCACACTCATTCATTTTTGAACGGTGAAACAGCAAAATTTGAACATATTGTACTATTTGATTAAAAACAATGCCTCTAAAAATGTAAGACAAAACGAACGTTCTTACAGTACGGACATATTATATGAAAGAGCCAGAAAATAAGCACTTTGTAAGAGAAATAGTGTATATTAGAAGTAGTGTAAAATAAAAACAAAACATTATTGACGTTGTAGAATAAAATTACAGGTCATGAATATATCCGACCCTTCGTCATACGATACTTTGAAATTTTGTTGTCTTAAATAATCATTTGCTTGTAATACTTCTAATTGTAATTTCAATACTGCAAATTGTACATAAAAAAGAGAATAGAAATGAAGATTTTGAATTTTAAATTGTTTTAATTTTGTAGTTGATGATAATGATGACATTAAACGTTCCCAATTTTCACCCGTAATAAATTGCCATTCACGTACTAAACCACTAAGTTCAAATAATTTTAATTGATCAAGTTCTTTGCAACATAACATATCTTGTAAATGTTGAAATGGCATTGAACAAACATTTATTTTTAAATGTGTTAATCGTGAAAATATTTGTAAATATTCTTGCATATCTCTTAATACTGAAATTGTCAACCAAGTGAGTTTTGGCATATGAGATAAAAGAATATTTAAACATGATGGTTTTAAACTTGATAAACGTAATTGACGAATATTTGATACAATTGTAGACGGAAGTGATAATACAATTTGAGAAGGAGCATGATATTTAAAATAGAATGAACAATTTTCTAATAATGGTAATTGTAAAATATAGAGGAATATTGTTTCATCAATTAGACGTGTAAGATGAATATATAAATCAGTTAGAAATGGTAATTGTTCACTGACTAACAGAGACTTTAATTGGTCGTCTGATACGTTGAAGAGTGTAAATGAACGAAGACGTTGTGGCAATCTAAAAGTATAGAAAAACATAGAATAGTGACCTATAATCAATAAATTTCTTTCATTAAAGATATTTTTAATAAGGTAGAAGACTATAACGAATGATCCAGTATAAACGATAATCATTTGTCATTTTTCTGCTGTGTTAACCCATTACACCCAACGATGCTTCTATTATATTTGCAGCTGAAATAATCACTACACTGAAATGCAAAAATTTCTCTTTCTGTTTCAATCAAAAGATTATTTATTCTCTACACTAGAAAAAAATTTCTCTTGTAGACTGATGAACTTTTTATTTTTATAAATCTATCACATTTCAAGGAAGAGACCGGCTGCTTAAATGAGTTATACATAAGTATGCACCGGGTTTTAACTGGTGTTGAAGCATTCGATAGAATTGCTATACATCTCATTTTGTAGAAAAACGTTTGCTCTACAAAATCCATTTGTTAAACAAATTCCAAAATCATTCTTAAGAAAACTTAAAATATTCTAAAATGCACCAAATTACGAAAAAAAAACGGTTCGAAAAGGTTTTTTTCTGTGATTTAATGTATTTTTGAATTCTCTAATTTCCTTAGAAACGATTTTGGAACTTGTTTAAGAACTGTATTTTGTAGAGCAAATATTTTTCTATACAATGAGATGTTTCACAAGTCTGAGCGAATCGTGATAACTGTATATATACCAATTCTCTCGAATCCCCCATAAGTTAACAACTGGTGCGTATCTAGCTATACAGCCTTTGAGCTGTTTTAATAAAAATATTCGACATTCTACTATCTAGAAAAAAAATTGTCAATACAAAATCTAAATCGCCAGCAGTTCGTAATTGAGCACCTTAATGAAACTTTATTACGATTTAGAGCCAACAAACGAATAAAAATTAATTTTTGTACAGCAGCAGTCATTTATTTAAGCACATTTAAATAAATGACTGCTGCTGTACAAAAATTAATTTTTAATGAAACTTCTTATATTGAAGATTTTGCCTTAAGAAATATCACAATTTGTGTAGGAGAAAGATTCCTAAATCTTTTGCTGGGGTCAGAAACTTCGCGTATCCATCCACTCAAGTTATATTGCAAACTATGGTTGAATCGTCCATGAAAGATGGAAGAACTTGGAAATTCTTAAATCATCATTTTGTTTTACACGTGAAAAACGCGTAAATCACAAGTGAAAAATTTTCTTTCCATTATCTTCATTTATGGTAGCAATAGCCATCACATATACGACCATAAAGAATCATAGGTTCTTTCCTTAAATATCTATGTTCTATAAAGTGGAAAGATCTGTAGTGATTCTGAGTATGAAAATATTCACACAGGACTAAAATAAAACCATGATTCAAGACTTTTCGTGGAAGATCGTGGGTAAAAGATTGTGATGCTATCTTTTTTGGGACTTATGAGTGTTTAAATATCGATTTGAATATTCTTCGATGTTTGTATGATCACTCCGACGACTTCTATCTGTTGGCTGTAGCTATTTGCAATTTAGAAGTGTTATTGGATTTTAGCGGCTGTAAGTACTCGAAAACGTCCCTAGGACCACTGCTAAATGTTTAAGAACTGAGACTCGTCCATGCCTGGTCACAATACTTTAAAGAATATTTTTAGTAAATCTGTTCGAAAAAGACTGAATTTGGGTTGTTCAAAAGAAATATGAAATATACGGTGGATCTCATTTCTTCTGCACCAAAAAATTCTATCTCATTTGAAAATATTTAAATGGAATATATTTGGTAAACTGAATGTATCTGTAATTTAACTCTTACTACTTCTTACCTGTCCATAAAAATAAAATTGATCAGTTCATCTGGTGTATTATTTTTAATAGTTAATTGTAACGGTTTTACTATTGGTAAAATAACATTATGATAATATATTGATTTTTGTTCATTTTCATATGTTAAATTGATGCATGTATGTAAACGTGGATGAAGAATGATATCGTTCAAACGTTGATTAAGATGGAAAAATGCTTGAAAAACATTATAAATATCTCCCATATATTCAAATGTAATCATTAATATTTCTGCTGATAGATCTTCAAGTTTAGTTATGTAAGACAACATTGTGAATGTTAGATGATAAATTAGTTTCAATTTTATATAGATATATGTACATAGTTTGTTCTTCTATAGAATCGATTCAACTATTCGTCTAATAATTGTTTTATGTTGAACAAACAGATTGCCTAAAAAACATAGATAGTTGTTCATTATTGACTAAAAGAATATTTTATTTTAAAAATAAAATAGAACATAAAATGAAGTTCAATATCGTCGCTGTATTCCGCTGTCTAACATTGTTCTATATTTGACTATGATCATTCAATTTTATAAGTGAAATATTGAAAATTTTCAGTTCAATTGAGAATCTGTTATTACTTAAACCACCAATTAAAATTATGTTTTTAAAAGCATAGATTAAATGAAAAGATAAAACTTATAAAAGTATTTGGTAGATTAATATGTTCAAAAATCAATAACTACATCCAAAAGAGAAAAAGATTTATGGCATCTCAACTTCGTTTAAGTTAAGAGACATTTCATAACTCTATTGAGTAATCGTCAGAAAGCTCATGACATGACAAAAAAGCAATTATAAATTTATAGTCTGTTCGATTCCCTATACAAATTTAGGAAGTTTTAACGTTTATATGAATTACGATTTCTAAAGATTAAAAATTTTGTTAAAATGATTTTGCTCAAATAAATTTTTATATTCAATTAAATTGAGTAACGTCTCATTGTTACTCTGTCGAATTCGTCACTTTCTAAATGCGATTAAAATTTAAGCTAATTAGTATAAAAGTGATTAGAAATTGAAACGAGTAACCAAACTTACATGGGTCTCATTTTTATTATTGCCAAAAAGCGATCACTTTTTAATTAACGAACAATCAACAGTCGTATTTTGAAATGTAGACATGTATAAACTGGTCACTTTTTAGAAGCACCAGAGTAGAACAGACGTATTAAAACATATATAATAAGAATTGGTGAGTATATATTTATTGACAATACACAACTACAGTACTGAAAAAAATTTGAGTCACTGTATTTTATAATTATAATCACAGCTCTCCACGATCTGTCGTTGCATAGTTACAGGCATCAGAAAATCCAGAGATATGTGCGCGTCTGCTTGTTTTCTAGGCGATTTTTAGCGTTTTTTTTTTAAATTATACTATTTCTTTGTAACTGTAACTGTTTTTCTAGAAAACTAAAAATATTTTCAATATAGCCATCTAGAAAGAGTATAAAATTCTGAAAAGAATGCAGCGTCGCACAGCTCTCCACAATCTGTCATTGCGCAGTTACAGGAGAAATAGTATAATTTCGAAGAAAAACGCTAAAAGTCGCCTAAAAAACAAGCAAAGCACATATTTCTGGATTTTCTGATGCCTGTATCACTTCGAGGGGTTCCCTCGTAAGATACTATGATACTGTGAAACTTTGAAGTTAATAGTAAGATACTGTGAAATGTGAAACTATGTAGGTGTGGTTCATTACCACAGTTTGTGGGCTAGTATCTGTGATGAAAATTTCAGCCAAATCTGAGAATGTCAGCATAAGCACCTGTCTGACTTTCTGAGACAATGGCTCTTAATTGCATAAGTGTGTTCAGTCGGGATCCATCATAGAATTTTCAATATTTTATGTCTGCCGAATACTGCAAGTTAACGATGGATTTGAGATAAGATGGCACATCATCAATATTACGTTCTGAGGGGTGTATTTCTTTTAACGATATGTAGACAGTGTCTGCGTAGGTTATTATGGGTGTAATGGATGACTTAAAAATATGATCAAGAGTAGAGGTGTTTAAAATGTGTTTGTATCTGTGCATGAGTTATATAAAATAAAACTTCCACTTTTATTCTTTAAAGAATGTGAAAGTAATGAAAGAAAATGAAATAATGTTAGTCATTCTGTCTTTCTGTAGTCACAGGTTAGTCATATAGAGTAAGTTGGGGTAATTCTGGACAGCCTCTCGAATTTTCACAGTATTTTGAGCGTACCTAAAGCATTTTTACTCGGGAAAAAACGACACTTCGCAGGTAGATAGACCGAAC